ATTTTTATATTTAATATTTAATATTAAATATTAATTAAATATTAAATATTAATATAAAAATTAAATATTAAATATTAATATAAATTAAATATTAAATATTAAATATTAATATAAAAATTAATATAATATTAAATATTATTAATATTTAATATTGCAGTTACTATAATATCCGTTTCTAATAATATATACGTGATTATAAAACAAGAATCCTGACGTTGGACAAAAATTTTGTTATCAAGATTTATTCAAGAAGACTCAATGCCGTTTGATAAAGATTTTACGTTCAAGAAGATCGAAGAAATTAAACTTCATAAGTTTTCATCGTCGTAAAAAATGTTGCAAGCAAAAGGAGAAAAATATTTGCTCACGTCTTAACTCTCTGAGGATTTTCTTGCATTCTTGATCCATCCATTCGACATCTAGTTTCTTCCACATAGTTTTTTTCCACTCATTTAGGGAAGTTGTAATGACATTTACATAATCCCATACAATTTTCAAAAGTTGCATCTCTTTTTGTATCTGTTTTGTTATCCTAAACTCAGGCATTTCCTGCTCGAAAATGACAGTCTGATCACGTAAATCTTTTTCTTCGCTCAGGAACTTCAAAATTTCTTCATGTAAATTGTTCAGACTCTCGTAAGGATTTTCACAAATTGGGCTGCAATACAAAAATTGAATCTTAAAAATGTTTGTATCATGAAAATATTCATGATATTTATAAACTGATTGTAAATTATTATTAATAAGACTTATATAATATCCATGTCTTCTCAAATTTCGTACAGAAATTTAGAATTATTCTACTTGTATGATAGTATTATTTGATAGTATTTTAATTTTATTTCAAGCTTTCTATAAATGAATTGTTTATTATAGTTTTGTCATTCATTTCTTATAATTTCAATGACAAAACAATAAAAGAGATAAAATATTAAGGGACAAAACTAGAAATTCCCTCTTATTAAAAGAAAGAAATAAAACATGAATTTTCTTCAAATTTTAAAAATATTAATTATTACTTTTTATATAGAGTATACAAGTATTCTAGCGTATATAGATGATTCTACATGGAAAAGTAAATCGGAAATAAAGAATAAATAGTAGTCGTATAAAAAATAAAAAATTTATGAAGTAATTGAACAGTAATACATGTTTATTAAATTTTTTTTTCATGTATAAAGTGTTCACGGATTTACATTTTTCTCGTAAACGGGAAGAGAAAAAAAATGACAAAATACTGTTTTTTGTAAATAACACAATGATGTTTGAAATTTTCTTGTATCTGTATTACTATTTAGAAAATGAATTGATTTTTTAAATAGAATGCACGTATTTTTTTTATATAATATAAAAAATAATATAAAAAATAATATAAAAGCGTAAATTAAAACGAATTCAATCAGCTGTCATAATGACCTTTCTAGGTCAAAAATAAAGAAAAAAGTTCAAATATTTTATGAATACATTTCTATAATTAATAAATAAAATGGTACAAAATATTCAAAATTTTTCTTTCATTTTTGTCCCTGGTATGATACCCAAGGTCAATATATCGTTATCGTTTTAATACAAGGTTTCATACGATATAAAAAAATTAAAATTCGACTTTATTTTAAAAGCAGTGCAAATATAAAAAAAGTGTACATCATTATATCGCTTATTAAAAACAGTAGTTATTTTTCCACTTTCATTTTTGTTTTACTGTTTATGAAAAAGATGCTGTAAATTTCTTGAATATTTTGTATACTGTTATATTATATACCTATGTTTTTCACAATTACAAAAGAAACTTATTAAAGTACAAAATACAAAATTTGTATAAAAATATTTTGTTTTGTTTATAAATTATTTTTTTCATAACTCGTATATTATTAGTTATAAAAATATCGTAGACATAATTTTTCAATGATGATGACAATATGTCTTTTTATATTGAAATACTAAGGGTATTTTAATACTTTTGAGAAGAAATTCAATACTTTGAATTTGAAACACAAAAAGAATAAAACTCCACAAAGTTATATTAGCAAATAAAAAAACGATATGATTCTTAAGTTCTGAAATTTATTTTTTTATTCATTTTTAAATGTTAAAAGTAAAGAAAATAAGAAGAAAATAAATGGATGATTTTCTTGGTTTTCATCTGGATACATATAATTTAATATCAGAAAAGTAGTTCTTCTATTTCATTAATTTTTATTTCTCTATTAATTCTATTAATTCAGATAGATGAGAGGCTCTACTAAGAATCATCATTTAAAAGTTATTTGTTACGTCACTATTTTGGAGAAACCTTAATGCTTCAAGGAATCAAATCAGATACATTAATGTTTCCGTTTATTACAGTTTGAACGACTGTAGATTTCAATGTATTCAATGTTTAGAATTCTTTTGAACTTGTTTTGACATTAGCCACAATACTATGAATTTCAAATTGTTCCAGTAAAAATGACTCATGAAAAACTATGTAATTCGATTTAAACAGAAACGAAATAACTTGAGAAAATAATCTTAAATATTTATATATATATTTATAAATATCTATATCTTGGAAGTTTTCTTCAATTTGTACATGAAAATTTGTATGAACATATTTTTACTTTATTCTGCTATTTTTAGAAGTAAAAAAAAAAAAAATCATACGAACGTAATTCCGAAAATGTCCTCTACAAAGATACAAATTTACAAATGATAAAATATAATACAAACTCTTGATTTCCAAAAAGTGTTGAAAGAAAAAAAAATTAGTTTTGTCCTAAGATTTTTAAATCTATTATTGAAAAAATTAATCTGCGTTATAATTCTTTGAAATTATATAACATTGATAAATCTTATAGTTAGCAAGCCCTGTTATTAATTCATAAAAATTCACATAAAATTGAAAGAAAAAGAACGTGAGAAAATGTGTTAGTCACTTGATAAAAAGTGACTAATTAATCTCAGTGGTAAAAATAGGGCTTAACGAGTAAAAATATGAAATTTCAATATATCATTTCATATATGAAATTATATATGATTATATATGATTTTTTTATAAGTTTAGAAAATATTTAATTTTAATTTAGGTAATTTAGTTAAGTGGAACATTTAATTTAGTTAAATGAAAATAAAACAAAAAAGAAATTATAACCTTATAAGTACTGTTTAGTACTTTAATTAAGTGGAATTTTGATTCATGCATTTTTGTCTTTATTAACAAAAGAAGTTCAAAATTTATGACAAAAATTATACGTTCAAATTCAGATACCTATCATTTTTTTTTTTTTAATTGATATTTTAAAAATTAGTTTCGACTAGTACTAACTTCTCTTGTGCAACTTAGCGTAAAATTAAACAAATTTGCTTTAGATAAAGTCTCATGAAGATATATTTGATATTGCAAACAATATTTCGATGGCTAAATGATTGCCATATCCTCCTATCTTCGTTGTTAATTAAATAACATATGATAAAATGTACATATTATTTTTTTAATCAAATGTAATTTTATCTCTGAAAAAAATAAATATTATAAAATAATACCATAGTTAAAAATTCGAAAATGCATTTATATTTGTCGTGCAAGAATGTTATTTATAAAATATATTTTTTGTTTTATTATCATGCTCTATAGCTTCACTGCATATTCTTGTGCATTTGCAGGAAAGTTTAAAGTACAATATTGCACAGAATGCATATAATTTTTAAATAAATAAATAAATAAATATATAAAATATACAAAGTATTATATTTTTCATAACATTTAATAGGTAAAATAATTTCTTAATTTTAGGTTTTTAACTAGTAACTAGCATTATTGAACCATTGAGGATCATAATAATTTAGAGTTAAATTATTTAGTTTTGGAATTTTTTATTTAATTGAATTTCTATGAAGAGTGCAAAATACAAAATAAACAAATAAAATCAAATACTTCAAATTTTAGTAATCTAAAATAAATTATTCGACAATACTATTTAATAATTCTCAAAAATATGAAATTTATATAAAACATAAATCTATTCTCAAAAATATAAATTTGCATCAAAATCACGAAAATTTAATTTCCAAAAATTATATGAAGAATATATTTCAATTAGAACAAGAATTTATATAATATAAGAAGAAATTATATTTCAAAAGGAAGAATTACGTTTGTACGATTCTTTTTTAGTAGAAATTGCAAAACATGGTATGAAGATTTAATTATCTATTTGCGTACATGCACGCTGTATACAGAGTGATTTACGTAACTAATTGTAAAACAAGTTGCACACTAACATCTAGATAAATGGCCGCTGTTCGAGACCGAGATATATTTCCACGAATTAGCTGATGTCTAACTCTGCCGTGCGTGCGTCAAAGATACGAGTGAGAAACGGAGAAACTGCACTAACACCAAGCCAAAAGAGACAGAGTTGATTTGTCTTGCCAATTAAATATTATTCGGTCAACTTAAAATTAATTCAAACACTGATCTGAAAATTATTCTGATCACATGGATTCACAATCAGTGATCTGTGACTAAGACAATTTTACAGTTAGAATAACAATGTAGAGAAACAGTATTTTTGTTTTTGTCTCGATAATTCAGTAGTAATTAAATAACTATTAACGCGGATTATACGTCGACATTCGAATAAACATTTCTAAAAAGAAATGGAGATAATTAAAATAGAAATAACTTGTATTTATATTTCATAGTCCCCGCGTAATTGACCAACAGTCAGGACCAAAACTCATCAGTTAAACGAGGAAATGTATTCAGAGAATTGACATCGAAAGAAAGAATGGAATAAAATATTTTGAAATTTATAAGAACCTACCAATAATGGAGAGGAAAAGAAAGGATTGCATAGAAAAAGTACGGCAAACGAATGAAACGAAAAACGAATATACTAAAATAAATAATTACATGACTGATTAAATTAATAATTTAATCAAATTTTCAAGAACAAATGACAATGATAGAAAAATGTTAAAAGAAATTGCAAAATAATATAAAGTATAAATTAGAAAATTTGCAAGCATAATTTTTATAAAATACGTATTATATACGTATTTTATAAATACATAATATATACATACATAAATATATAATACGTATTTTATACGTATTTTATAAATTATGTTGTACTATATTTATATATTATATTACTATTATTCTATATAATAATTTATAAAAATAGTTTATTAGCTTACTTGAAAATGTTTTCTCTATGAAATTCGTACAAGAAACGTTGTTGCTTAAAATCATAATAACTTAGTCTCTTCTTCAAAAGATCGATTTGACGAGTCATTAAAGGTTGAACGACATGTTTCACTTGAGCAGCTACTTTTTTCAATATTTCCCAACTAACAGGCAATTCTTCCAGCCAATTAAAGATTTTTTCGTCTAAATACACGTTGTAACTTTGTAGCAATTCTATCGTTTTCTGAAAATTATATGTCCAATTATCATGAATATTTAAAATAGTATTTAAAGAGTGTTTTAAATATTAGTTATATACTATGTTTCCATTAAATAACATTACTTGAATCTTGAATCAATTCATTTTAGTTTTCAATATATGGAAGATGTAATAATAAAATACATTCGAACTACTTTAATTTAATTTAATGTTTTAACTCAATTTTGATTTTTGATTTTGAACGATTTTTGATTATACATTAACTTTTATAATCAATATAATTTATTACATTATATTATATTATATATTAATTTTTGATATTTAAAATTATTTAATTTAAATGTTCAATTTTTATTTAAAATTACATTTAATATTAAGACACTGTGTTGACATAATATGCGTGTATTACTTTTTTAATTTTTACAGTATTATAAAGCTATGTATATTATTTTTTTAATTTTTTATAATATTATAGAACTAATCAAAACTGCTAAAGTTTCTGAGATGTAAAAGTCCTCGTTAATAATAGAAAAAATTACTCTTGAATAGAAACAATTTTCCAGAACCATCGTTATTCAAACAGTTTTTGTCTCACAATCAATAACATTGTATTTGTTCACTATTTTCTGCTGAAATAATAAATTAAGTCTCGTATTTTATAGTTACTTCATAGTTCAATTTCCCATATATACATTATAATATTTAGTATTTTTAAATAATGAGAAATAACTTTTTCATTAAAAATTGACGATTCTTTTCTCTTAATTACTATTATTAAATGATATGATTGCAAACAATATTTAGTCGTTTTAATTTTCGTATATTGTTTAGTGCAATCAAGTATATATATATATATATATATATATATAATACTGTTTAAAGTATATCATCGATAAGAATTTATTACACAATAAATCCAATAATTTGTTGCATAACAGTCTTATATTTATAAACTTCATGCGTCAGAAAATGGACAAAATTTTCCGATAGTAGCATTTATTTCATTTAAAAGTGGAATTTCCAATAAATGCATACATCTATCGCTTTTTGATGGATAAAACGTTCACTCACAGGAATTCCTTATGAATGTTAGATGTTTATATAACAATACAATTCTCTTTCTAGAAAATTCTATTTCTAATGAGAAATATATATTCTCTGAAAGGAAAACAATTATTGAAATACATTTCGTAATTATGTAATTGATTCACGATTTACAGCATTTGTTGCAAAGTTTTTAACGAAACGAAAGAATATAATTTTTGGATTTAATTCTGAGAAAATATTAAATAGAAAATAAAGATACTTTTTATTTTATTATTAATATTTCAAGTTTTTTTTCACTAAGCAACTTATTTATACTTCATGGACAAAAATAAGCGATAAATGTTAGTATAATGTGTAAATATAAGATATATAAAATAGCACTTTTTCGATAAAGTATAAAAATTAATTAGTAATACATTAATTTCATTTAGAATCTGTCCTTATAATTGATTGACATGTACGAAGTTTATGAAAAATTGAACTTATTAGAACATGAATTTTTTTTATTATAAATGTACTAATATTTCTACACTTAATTCTGTTTTTATTTTCTCTGTCAAGATTCTTTTTGTTATATTAGATTTATGCGATTTTTACATGCAGTTTCAATTTATGTATTTTACGCGGTCCTTTTTCTTTCTTTTTCATTATTGGTAATTACTTTTTGTAAGAAACAATAGCTTAACTTAACAAAATATCAAGAATATTATTTATTAATATACGATTCTTATTGATTTTTTTCCTGAAAATATGTAAAATAAATCTTTTATAATTTACGATTTTTTCCTTTAGTATCTTTTTCATACTGGTTTTCTTTCGCATAAAAAAAAAAATCACGTGGAACGGATAATTCGTGTAAATTAAGATGTGAGTGTACTTTAGATATTTTTTTAATTTTTAGATATTTTACATATTTTTATATATTACGTACATTTTTAAATTTTGCATAAATGTAATGGCAATATATGACATATGTGAAGATTAAAGACATTGAAGACAAGTCCCCTAAATTGCAATTTTACTAAATATTCCATAAGCAAAACGTATCAATTTATCAATAGTATTCAATATATTAAAAATCAAAATTTATTTTACTCGTTATCCCCAAGAAATGATATACATAAGGTAACATATATTTGTGAGATAAAACTATATACAATGATATAGTTTTATATGTAAGTTTGCAATCTTGTTTTTGAGAAAAAAGAAGTTTCATTCATTAAGAACTAAATAATAATAAGTTTATCATATCGTCATAAATATTTCAATTTGTTTTATAAATATTATTATCTTAATAAATATCATCATATTACGAATAAAAAAGTATAAAGTTCCATTGAAACTTGTGCTATTAAAAAATATCTATACCAAATAATTACTTTCCCTACGTTAAACAATTTTTGTAAAAAACATTTGTTTATAATATGAACCTTTTGTAAAATATTCCATTATTCTTACTTAAATATAACGCCCTGTATATTTGTCGCCTATGTACGAATATATAAATCCATAACGAAAATGAATTAATTAATGAAAACTCAGAATTTCATGACAAAGTTCGTCATTTTGTTTCAAGAACTTTGTTCAAAAATATCTTATGTATTTATTATATTTTACTTAAAATTATTCTTTTTAATATTTTCTCATCTGTTCCACATTTCTGAAACAATAATAATTGTTAGATTTCCATTAAAAGAGTTTTGTATTAATATAATATTATATTATATTATTTGATTTTTGATTTTTAAAATAAATGATCCTGTCTCATTATAAAACAATATATATATTATTATATACTTCGGATAACTACGCAAAGTTTTATCGTACTGTATTTATCATTTTATAGTTATTTTTATTATAATTACCTTAATGGGATCGAACATGTCTTCAATTTCGTATTGACGATCTCTGACTTCCTTTAAATAATATATAGTATCTAAAAGGGCTTCATAATCATCTTCATGTATAGGACGTGAGAAGTCTTCCATCGCTGCTTTTAAGAATTCTGATAAATCCTTTAATCTAAAATTTAAAAAAAAAGGAAAACCAAATTTAAATCAGGAAGTGATGTTTTATATAAAGAACAAATGTAATAAATGAACTTTTTCTATTTTGATTGAAGTATATCAATTGCACGTATTATACCAATGTGCGTACATCAAATCATATATATGATAATTATTGAAAATTTAATATAAATATACTGTTCTGTATATATAAGTATACTGTTAATTTATTACAGTATATATAATTTATACTGTTTATATAATTTATAACAGTATATAAGTATACTGTTAATTTATTATTTTTTGTATTAGAAATAATTCTGCATTATGATAGTTATTAAAAATTTAGTGGAAATCTGTAAAATTAAATTAAAAAATAAAAACTGATAAACTGCGGATTTTTATAGAAATTCATATTCTTGAGATGTATACAATTAAAGAAGTGGATTTTCGGTAAAAAAAAAATTGTTTTACGTAACAAACATTATGGAAGACACTTGAATATTTTATAAATAATTCTCATATTACTGGATAAATTTCTAAAAATGTATTTATTAAGAAGTAATGACAAAACAATTGCGCTAAAAAATAATAAAATAACAAATAATAATCGTATGCTTGAATCGAATATATTTTTGTATTCAATATAATAACTTTGTTCAATTATAAATATTATTTAATAAATTTCAGATATTTTCTATAGTAGTATCACTTGGATTGAAAGTAACAGAAAGTATGTTTTCTATAGGAAACAAAGAACAATTTTTGCAACCAAAGAAACTTTGTTAATCAAAGGAACAGCATAATTCAAAATAATACTTCAACACTTAATAAGATACATTTGAAGAATATAGTCATATATCTCTTTATCAGCTAAATTTTAAAGATAAATGAATAAGATTTTCGTAAATGTGTGTGTCTAATGAACATTTTCATAGTGATTAATCGATAATCTTTTTAGTACTTTTTAGTATTTTTATCGTACATGTGCAACATCTAATGATCACAGAATTAGAAAAATTTCGATGACATAGATTTATAATAAAAAGTTTATGCGACATAGCGAATGAAAAAATTATGATTCCTAACATTTTGTGTTCAAAATTCTACTGTAGTAGTTTTCAAAGAACAAACCTTTCGATAATGTCGATATAATGAAAGAAATACAATTTTTACATTACATTATTATCATAATCACTATTTAAAAATTATTTCATTGATCGTTTCTATTGTGAGACATATTTTTATGTATCTTAATTTTAACATTGTTTTTATTTTATTTCAACTTCGATTCAAATGCTGTCCTCACATTGAAACATCAAATGAAATGGTACCAAGTGAGTCTAAAATTACATCAACTTGACATTTTATTTCGGGTAATAGATAAATGATCGGTTTCACTTGAACTGTTTACATTGCTTACGAAATAAGTACTTTGATAGTTTTCCCGGAATAGTGATTCCGAGCCAAATACTCAGTTTACTATTCCATTACGCAAATATACAGGATTAGTGCCAACAGCGACCGTCCCGATTGTGGTTTCAGAGAAATCGACTCTATTTGCGGTTAGAGGTCAACACGTGATTCGCATTCATAGAATTCCCTTTTATAGATTACTCGGATGATATATATATATATATATATGTATCTTGAAAATATTAATTTCCTTTGAAACGTCCACGAAGAGTATGCTATTTATTAAATCTTGTTATATTAAATTTATATAGTTTATAATTTATATATAGTACAATTAGCATCGTCTAATAAAATCAACCTTAGCTCAACGTCAGAATTTGTTTTTCCAACAATGTAGAACATACAAAAGTATAGGAAGATAGAAATTTTCAAAGGGAAGAAGTAAAAATTTACTTACTGGGTGGTAATACGATTGACCAAATAATCCTTCAGCACGTTTGCCCATTTGCAAATGATGTTCAACAACGTTTGCTTGAAAGGTTTTACGTCGAGTTTCAACCATCGGCAAAATATTTCTCTGTCTGGAAGTTGATCGCACTTGTTGTACTGGCTCATGAAATAATCGATTTCCCGTTTAAAGTCTGTTAAACTTGGTCTCTTTTCTTTCACGTTGTCTGGAATATAATCCGGATGTTGTTTGATCATCTCTCTTTGCTCGGGGCTTACGTATTGCGAAAACCTTACAAAATAGGACAAATATTCTTGCTTATCGTCCGTCCACAACCACGAATATATTTCGTATTTCTGTGAACAATAATTTCAATCAAAGTTATTTGTTATTTTCTTGCTATTGCTTAGGAATATGGATATATTGTGCAGAATTTGGAAAAGGATGACAGGTGAGAAGATAAAATAATTTCAATGAAATTATATGTTCTATGTAATATAATATAATTATAATATATAATAAATAATAAATAAATAATAAATATAATATATAAATAAATAAATAATAAATAGTTGTAATAGATATAATGATAAAATAAAAATAATAATAATGTTCTGTGAATATTATCAATAATTTGAAAAAGGAACACAGATGAGAAGTAAAATAATTTTAACGAGGTGATGCATATTTAATCAACAATCATATAATTACATGTGTATTTGCTTTTACTTCTGCCAAGGCCAATTTTGCTCGATTGCAAGTTTCCTCTAACATAAATACAATACCTTCTTCCTCGGCAACGTCAAGCTTTGAGAATGAAAATTTAACGATTAAAAGTGATCCAAAGAAAAGTCAAAAAAAGTTAAAGAAATAATCAAATTTTACCAAGCAATACTGTTTACTAACTGACTTAATATATTCAAAACGAATGGGAATCACAGTTTTCATATTTAAAAACATTTTCACAATTTTCACACTTAAAAACTTGTTTCTATTATTAAATGTATTCTACAATACACACACGCGCACACACAATATTAGGTTGTGTAATAAATATATTCATTTCTTTATTATGTTTTTAAGAATATATATTATAGAATATATTATATATATAAATATGTATATTATCTATAATATTATAGACAATACTGTGGATATATATAATCTACTATAAAATACTAATGGATATATATAATTATAATTGTAAATAGGGAGAAAACGAACACTAGAAATATTTCAAATATGACATGCAATTGAAAATATAATATATAAAAATTGAAATTAATAATAAATATGAAAATGTAGAATATTATTTTAAAATATTAAAAGAATCATTTATTATTACAGAAAATGTTGGACTTATCAGTGGTAAGCAATTTAAATTTATTAAAATACTTACTGTAGTACTGCTACTATTAACATTGGAATGTTAATCATTTCTACACAAGAAAGATGTTCTTTAAAAGTAATTATATATATATATTTCAAAGAACGTAGAAATACGTATATTATACATGTACAATTTTTTGATAAAAAGATGAGATTTTCAAAGTTACTTAATTCATTTGTAAAGAATAATCAACCACGTGATGCAAATTATGGTGCGAACAAACTTATTACACAACTTAATAATGCGAAATACATGTTCTGGAATCGATGCCAAAAATGGAAAATCTATTTCCTTAGACTAGAAAAAAAGAAAAAAATTTATTTCTTTAGACTGTGAGATTAAAAAATCAATTAAAATTCCGTCTCAAGTGTGTTAAAGAAAATTTTATAAATAACCATTTATCAATTCAATGATTGGAAACATTAATAATGGATTATGTACTGCATAATTTTCTTGATTTTCGTGTAGTTCAGGATCGATGCGTGGTATGAGAGTACCCATTTTCATCATTTCAAGCAGAAGCGATTCGAAGAAGACATAGAAACCTTCTGGATCATCTACTTCCACTGATGGCCGAAAAGTAATAGTAAGATTCTGTGAAAATTTAAGATTCTAGAAAATGATGCATGATTACAGAATTGTTGTAGTATATATAGTATATATTATTATTATTATATAACATATCAATAGTAAATATATTTTGCATTATTATCGTTTGATATGTTATATACTTATATACTTATAGTATAGTATTAGTATATA